TCTATACACTGATAATGAACACACCGCTCTGTATAATGATACTGAGTATCTATACACTGATAATGAACACAGCGCTCTGTATAATGATACTGAGTATCTATACGCTGATAATGAACACAGCGCTCTGTATAATGATACTGAGTATCTATACACTGATAATGAACACACCGCTCTGTATAATGATACTGAGTATCTATACACTGATAATGAACACACCGCTCTGTATAATGATCTGAGTATCTATACACTGATAATGAACACACCGCTCTGTATAATGATACTGAGTATCTAGACACTGATAATGAACATGTCACTCATAATAATGATTTTGTGTGTGTGTAAACTTCACTTTTGAGATATAGTGCCAGGAAAACACTCGTTTTCCTGGCACTATAGTGCCCTGAGGGTGCCCCCACCCTCAGGGACCCCCTCCCGCCCGGCTCTGGAAAGGGGAAAAGGGGTAAAACTTACCTTTTTCCAGCGCTGGGCGGGGAGCTCTCTGCCTCCGATCCTCCTCCGTTCCTCCCCGGCGGCTGAATCACGCAAGCACCTCTAGCGGCTGTCAATGAGACAGCCGCTAGAGGCTTTGGGGGAAGGCTTAACGCATTCATAAACATAGCAGTTTCTCTGAAAAAAAATGGGTTAATCCTAGCTGGACCTGGCACCCAGACCACTTCATTAAGCTGAAGTGGTCTGGGTGCCTAGAGTGGTCCTTTAAACAAGCATGTGTGGTTTGTGTCCTGCATTGTAAGCTCACCTGTGTCAAGGCAAACCCTTTTTAGGTGAGTCCTACACTAACAATTCATCTTTTGGTCTTCAGCTATAAGGTAACAATCTCTAATGAGACAGATAGGGGTATTTTTCTAAACCTGTACATACCTATTAACCCTTAAAGGGACAAGGTCAAATGGAAAATAAGCGATAGTACAATAAATGGCAGAGCAATGTTACGGTGGTTAGCTGAGGAGGCAGCAGCAAAGAAAGAGGAGTGGTTTAGGGTCATATGGGAGAATATCGACCTTGGAATGTTCTCATTGGATATTATAGTAATATGTTTAACCCTAGCTAAAGTAATTGTTTGTCCCCCCCCCCCCTTTTAAATATATATACACATACACACACACAATTCTTTATTTGCTGCGGTGGAAATAAAAAAAGATAATCATAATATTTGCCTCTGTGTCTTTAACCCCTTCAGGGCCAGACTGTTTTTGCGATGTTGTACATTAAGGACCAGGGCTGTTTTAACACTTTTGTGGTGTTTGTGTTTAGCTGTAATTTTCCTCTCTCTCATTTACGGTTCCCATGCAAATTATATATATTAATTACATACCATTATTTGTATCATGTCATATAATTTACTTTTAAAAAAATAATAAAATATGGTGAAAAGTTGAAAAAAAAAGACCTTTTTTACTTTTACTTGAAAAATCTTTTACTTACCGTATATACTCGAGTATAAGCCGACCCGAATATAAGCCGAGGCCCCTAATTTTACCCCAAAAAACTGGGAAAACGTATTGACTAGAGTATAAGACTAGGGTGGGAAATGCAGCAGCTACTGGTAAATTTCTAAATAAAATTAGATCCTAAAAAAATTATATTAATTGAATATTTATTTACAGTGTGTATATGATGAATGCAGTGTGTGTGTATGAATGCAGTGTGTGTGTATGAGTGCACAGTGTGTGTATGAGTGCAGTGTGTGTATGAATGCAGTTTTTGTGTATGAGTGCGCAGTGTGTGTGTATGAATGTAGTGTGTGTGTGTATGAATGCAGTTTTTGTGTATGAATGCAGTTTTTGTGTATGAATGCAGTGTGTGTGTATGAGTGCATTTTTTGTGTATAAGTGCAGTGTGTGTGTGTATGAATGCAGTGTGTGTGTATGAGTGCAGTGTGTGTGTGTATGAATGCAGTGTGTGTGTGTGTGTGTGTATGTATGAATGCAGTGTGTGTATGAGTGCAGTGTGTATATGAGTGCAGTGTGTGTGTGTGTATGAATGCAGTGTGTGTGTGTGTATGAATGCAGTGTGTGTGTGATGCAGTGTGTGTGTATGAATGCAGTGTGTGTGTGATGCAGTGTGTGTGTATGAATGCAGTGTGTGTGTGTATGAATGCAGTGTGTGTGTGATGCAGTGTGTGTGTGTGTGTTGCAGAGCCTTGGTGGGGGGTGGGCATTTTTATAAAAAAAAAAATTATTATTATTTTAATTTTTTTTGTTATATTATTTTTTGTATTATTATTTATATATTATTAATGTATTTATTTTTATTCGTCCCCCCTCCCTGCTTGATACATGGCAGGGAGGGGGGCTCTCCTTCCCTGGTGGTCCAGTGGCATTGGCAGTTCAGTGGGGGGAGGAGGGGGGCTGGCAGAGCTGTTACTTACCTCTCCTGCAGCTCCTGTCAGCTCTCTCCTCCTCCGCGCCGGTCCGTGCAGCTCTTCTCTCAGCTCACACTGTAAGTCTCGCGAGAGCCGCACTATGACCCCGCGGCTCTCGCGAGACTTACACTGGGAGCTGACCGAGGTGCTGACCGGACCGGCGCGGAGGAGGAGGGAGCTGACAGGAGCTGCAGGAGAGGTAAGCGCTCGCTGCCAGCCCCCAGTCTGTATTATGGCAATGTAAATTAATGTAAATTGCCATAATACAGACACTGACTCGAGTATAAGCCGAGTTGGGGTTTTTCAGCACAAAAAATGTGCTGAAAAACTCGGCTTATACTCGAGTATATACGGTACCTATAAAAGCTAATGAAAAAAAACTGCTAAATAGCTTCAAAATTTTGTCATGAGTTTAAAAAACACCCAGTGTTTACGTGCTTTTTTTTTTTGCAAGTTATAGGGCTATAAGTACAAGCTGGAAATTGCAGTTTCAATGTATATATTTTTAAAATGTATCAATAGTGACATTGTAACCCTGTTATCTGTCATAAATCCCCGAATCACACCTCACATGTACATATTTTTTTAAATTAGACACGTCAGGGTATTCAATATGGGTATGTCCAGTCTTTTAAAACGTATCACAACAATTATATCTTCAGTGAAAGTGCTGTTTGTGTGTGAAAAATGCAAAAAAAAAAAAAATCGCTTTACTGTTTTGAAACACTAATATTTGTGTTCAGCGAAGTCTCCCAAGTAAAACAGTACCCCCATGTACAGATTTTAGGGTGTAATAGAAAGTTACAGGGTAAAATACAGTGCTAACAAATTAAATTCTCTGGACTTTTGGCCTGGTTTGGCAGGCAGGTCCCTCAAATTGCAATCAATAAAATTACTTAATTATGTAAAAATATTACATAAATACGCATGTAGAATTTAAATATATATGCATATTTATAGTCTATGTGTATATTTATATAATTATTTATGTAATTTTGTATATGGACATATGTACATTTCGTATTATTTTTATTTATATATATACAATTTCATTCTAAGTGTATTTTGATATAAATATATATCTCAAAATACAGTAAGAATAAAATTTGATATATATTTAATTAAAAAATATATTTTTACGTTTTTTAATGTATTTTAATTCTTATTATTTGTATTTTATAATATATATATATATATATATATATATATATATATACACACAATATATATCGTTATATATATATATATATATATATAAAATATACATGTGTAATTATAATTAGAAGTGTATTTTTATATTAATATAAAAATACACTATGTATATGTATGTGTGTGTGTGTGTATGTATATGTATATATGTATGGATATATATACAAATTTCAACAGTTTCTGGCACTCATCCCAAAAATAATAATCAATAAATCGCATCCAGCAATTACCAGGTGCCTCTCCATGCAAAAATATAAACCGAAAGAATTGAGAGCACTCAATGGATTTAGTAAATCAATATATTAAATATAACACATACAAATCAACGTTTCGACCGTCTAGCCGTCTTTATCAAGATATATATACACACACACAGATATTTAATTATATTTTTTATTAACATTAACATTTTTTTATTTTACACTAGCAGGGAGACTTAGTAACAGCACACATCACAGACAGTCCCCTGGCAGGCACACACTAGGACACCTATTGTGACTATGTGACCACTCTGTTGAGCGATCACATGGCCTCCGGGGTCCTAATTTGCCGCGGGGAGACTGCCTGGCCTTCCAGGCAGTCTCCCCATACCGGGAGCAACTCCGATCGTCGCCGGGGGAACGACGGCGATCAGGTAAGTACATAATACCGGTCCTCAAGGGGATTTTTCCGATGACGGTCCTGAACCGTCAGCGGTCGGGAAGGGGTTAATAAACTCATGACACTACTCCTTGTAAATAGTAACATCTGGTAATTTATAGTAGTTTGCCCATAAATCTGATAAAATCATATGATCACCCTCATTGGCTGTCTGATATCCACTTGTTATTCTCTGCAATTTAAAAGTTAAATCACTTTTTTCTGTTTATGCAGCCCCTGCCACACCTCCTCTGGCTGTGACTGACACAATCTGTTTTCATTTTCGATCAGATGTTAAATGGGCACTATTGTCACCAAATTAACTTTAGCTTAATGAAACAGTTTTGGTATATAGAACATGCCCCTGCAGTCTCAATGATCTGATTTAGGAGTTAAATCCCTTTGTTTATTAACCCTAGTCACACCTCCCTGCATGTGACTTGCACAGCCATCCATAAACACTTCCTGTAAAGTGAGATCTAATGTTTATCCTTCCCTTATTGCAAGTTCTGTTTAATTTAGATTTTCTTATCCCCTGCTATAAAATAGCTTGCTAGACCCTGCAAGAGTTTCCCTGTATGTGATTAAAGTTCAATTTACAGGGGGCGGGGCGTGGCCTGGACAAGCATGGTGCAGGACGCACGGTGAAAGAGCTCCGCACCCCTGGCTGCCTAAATAGCCAAAAAAAGCGAGAACAACGGGAGAAAATGGTCTGGATTAAAAAGCATTTAGCTGCGGAGACAACAGGGGCAGACTCGCCCAGAACAGGATGGATGATTTTGTTGCTACGATGCCGGACACTAGAAGGCAGCACTATGAGAACAAAATGGCGCCAGCCTCCCCGGGCTCTGAGAGCGCGGGAGAACCCCAGATGGAGGACACCCAGGTCAGTGAGCTGGCCCAGATTAGAGCTGAACTTGCCCAAATATCAACAAAAATGCTTACCAAAGCGGACACTGGCTCCTTGGTCCAGGAAATCCGCGCAGCCCTACGTTTGGAACTTGCCGACATGCACTCCGATCTGACAGCGCTGGAACAAAAGGGTGGACGAAATGGAGACAACCGCCCAGGGCTGCGAGGAGCAACACAGGGCGACGGAGGTGGCGGTTACCAGGCAGGGGAACATGCTCCTCACGCTACGCAGGCAAGTGGAGAACTTTGAGTAGGCGGAACAACATACGGGTACGAGGCCTGCCAGAGGCAGACACAGATCCGCTCCAGGCCACACTAATTGATTTATTCAAATAGCTTCTGGGTGATCAAGCCCCTGAAACAATCCACATAAAAAGGGCACACAGAGCACTGGGCCCAGTGAGACAGGATGGCAACCCCAGAGATGTGGTCTGCTGCGTTACCTCATACGGAATGAAAGATAATATAATGGCCGCCGCGAGGGAGCAGACCTCTATCAGATTCCGCGAGGCTGAGGTATCACTAAATCAGGACTTGTCCAACCTCACACTAGACGCTAGAAGAGCCCTGAGACCAGTGACTGGGACCCTGCGAGACAAGCGAATACCATACAGATGGGGCTTCCCTTTCAGCCTTCAAGTGAAACATGGTAACTCCTGGCTTACGGCCCGCTGGCCGGAAGATATCCCAAGAATGCTGAGAACAATAGGCCTGCCCTCAATCAGAATCTGGAACTGGATTCTGGAAGAAGCCATAACAACACGGAGAGATCCCCTGGCACCAATGCGCCCACTGGAACCCGCAAACGGCAACAACGCCCTGTCGGAGGGGGGGCCCGGAGGAGTAACATCAAGAGAGTGGTCGAAATGATGGGGATATGGTGAGTCCTGTTCACACCCGGGGACATGAACATTATAAAGCATGAGGGATTGCATGACAGAAGGGGGGGTCTGCCAGGACACTAGGGGTGAGGGAGTAACGAGGGGAGCTCAAAAGATACGGACAACATACAGAGTCCACCTGGGACTAGCTGGACACCTAGTAGCTCCAGTGAATAATATAGGAGGGCTGCAGCCAAAACGAAGGCTGACACCATTCATCACAGCGAGATGAAGACGGGGGGCCAAAGCTCAGTCTCGCAGATGTGGATTTGGGTGGGGGGATATCGGGATATACTGCCAGAGGGAGGGGGGTGAATAGACTAGTATTCACACGCTGTGCCACTCTGTGCCAGGATGTGCAGCAGGAGACCAGATTAGCAATCAGCTAGGGCCTGCTGGGAGCCCTTAATGAATGCAAGATGTGTCTGTTGTCGGGCTGGACACAGGGGCATGGGACAGCAATGCTAATGAATGGGTGACTGCTAACCGGGAAGCACTCAGAGGCATACGCCCCTACCAGGACTACGTATAATGTGTCCTCAATGTCGGACATTCCCTGTGATGCAGTGGGGTAGCGTGAGTAAGGGGACTGAGGTTAGGAAACGAGGGGAATATTGTTTGGATGTTGTCTGACTAGAAAGATGTTCTGAAATATGTGACCCCTCCCCACTGAGGTGTACGACTGCTATCATAAGGTGCAACGAGCCCTAAATAGGTGTCCAATGAGAATCTAGATGCCACGAAATGGAAACGAGTTAATGGGTAGTTCACCAGAGGGAGGTGCTATAGAGGACTGGGACATACAGAATCTCGACGCCCAGGCAGGGTGTCTGACACCAGTCACCCGAGACCTCTCCCACCACAGACTGTGGAAGGAACACGCCCACTCCCCACACTGAGTATGACAGTCCGGGAGACTGTAGTTAGCGGGGACGCAAAGGTCAAAACCACACTGAGGAAACACAGGAGACTTGATGACCCCCCAACAAAAATGCCCCCTCCACACAGAATTGCTTGGGACTCACTGAGGGCAAAGGGGGCCCACCCCCACGTCAACCGTTAACATCCACATACCGATGCCACGCACTTCACTTTCCGGAACCTTATGCATCCCGTAAAGCCATGGCATTCCAGGCCAGGGGGACGGGCGGTAGTTGGTATATATCTCAATTAATTGCTATTACCTCTACGTAAGGGAGAGTATTTGTTTATTGTTATAAGTTACCATGCTCATATGATACATCGACAATTGTCATAGACGAGAGTTGAGAACTGCATTTGTGCTCTAAGGGACAGGTTCCCCCCTAGATAGGCACCACTTAAAGGTTGGTGGGACGCTCTCTTGGGGCGCCACACGCGACACCCCCAGCACAGGCCCATACTGGGTCAGACACACCACTCCCCCTCTACTCCCGTTCTTAACTCAGAAACTCAGGCCTCATGGACAGCTGGAGGGTGCTGCACCCCGGAGACAGGGATTTCACCTATTATTCCACAATACATAAATCCTACAGCAGGCTGGACTACATACTAGTGTCCCAGGAGATCTTGTCCATGCTGATCTCGGGGAGATACAGCCCATGAGCTGGTCCGACCACTCCCCAGTATCAGCCCCTCAGATCCCCTCTGTTTCGACCGAGGGACCGCCAATGGCGGATGAATGAATCGATCCTGACGCATGAATGACGCACCAGTAGTTGCGGAACTTCTAACGACACTAACTACATTCTTTGAGGAGAATAAATCCCCAGAAGTCCCAGCCCTAACGGTATGGGAAACACAAAAATGTGTTATACGGGGGCATCTCATTAAATTATGCACCGACAGGCAGAAGCTGCAACGCCAACACATGACTGAGCTAACCTCGCAGATCGCGGCCCTTGAAATCTCACATAAGATTACCCAGACCGATGCAGACTACAAAGCCCTCCTAGATGCTAGACGAGCATTGAGGGACATTCTACACCGCAAACTACAATACACAATTCGCAAATCTGATAGTTTCTTTTATGAATACTCAGGCAAATGTGGCCGTCTACTTGCCCGAATACTACAGAAGAGACGTATAATGTGCCAGATTACAAAAATGTAAAAACAGGGATCAGACGACCACTCAAATTCCAGACGAAATTATGGGTGCCTTTCAAGGGTTTTACAACGACTTATATAACTTACCTACAGATGACACCCTGGACGCACGCCGCCACAGAGACATACGAATAGCGGAGTACCTGCAACAGCATGTCGAGAGGACCCTAAACCGAGAAGAGGCAGACGTTTTGGAAGCCCCCATCACAATAGAGGAGCTCCAAGCTGTGCTGAAAAGCTCAAAGGCAAACAAGGCACCAGGCCCGGAGGGCCTACCAGTGTGGTACCTTAAGGAACTGGGGGACGTACTCCTGCCTAAGTTTCTGACTGGACTCAACTCCCTACTAGAGGGAGGCGCGCTCCCCAGAGATGCCCTGTCGGCGACGATAACGGTAATTCCGAAGGAAGGCAAAGATCCAGCCAACTGCGCAAGTTATCGACCAATCTCACTACTGAATGCAGACCTGAAGCTCTTCACGAAAGTCATAGCGATGCGCATAGGTTGGGTCCTGCCGGACTTGATGCACCCCGACCTGGTCGGGTTTGTCATGGGTCGAGAGGCAAGGGACAACACCATTCGTGCCCTTAATGTCATCCACGCCGCAAGACAATCTCTGCAGAAGGTCCTTAACCTCTTAACTGACACGAAGAAGGCCTTTGACCGGGTAGACTGGCATTACATGCTAGCAACACTCAAGGCAATGGGCTTTGGCCCCCATCTATTAGCGTGGATCTCCTCTCTATACACGATCCAGTCGGCCAGAATTAGGGTGAACGGTGCACTATCTGGCCCGGTACACATACGCAACAGGATGAAGCAAGGGGTGCCCGCTGTCCCCCTTTCTGTTTGCCCTCTCCCTGGAACCCTTCCTGGGGGCGGTCAGACGGGACGGGGGCGTGAGGGGATTCGCTATGCACGGGCGAGAACACAAAGTGGCCACGTATGCTGAGGATATGCTGTTTTTTATTAGCGAACCGATGGTCTCCCTCTCGAACCTCCTCGGGGCCTTCGTGGAATATGGACAAGTATCAAACTTGAAATTGAATACGGACAAATTGGAAGCACTTCCCATCTCAACAGGGGAAACGATGTCTACCCATCTCAAAACCCAATACACCTTTACGTGGGGTCACGCTAAATTACAGTACTTAGGCATCTGGTTATCTGCGGACCTATTCCAGCTATACACCCACAACTTCGCACTTATGCTGCATAAGCTGGGCTCGGACTTAACAAGGTGGGCCGGACTATGCATCTCATGGTTCGGGAGAATGAATGCAATAAAAATGAATCTCCTGCCCCGGCTTCTGTACTTATTCCAGACTATACCGATTGTTATCCCGGGGACCTTCTTTAGAGCTATGGACATGGCCATCATCAGGTTTATCTGGCTCTCTATGGCACACAGACTGAAAAAAAAAAAATTGCATCTACGTCTACCAAAGGCACAGGGTGGAGTGGGACTCCCATCATAACTAAACTACTACAGCACACCTCCACCGAATCGTAGACTGGCACATCTCCAACACTAATAAGCAAAGGATACATATGGAACGGAGCCAGATGGATGGATCGATCCCGGCAGCAGTGTGGCTCGGGAGCCCTTTAACTAATGCGCGAACCCATAGGCACCCGCTCATAGGAGCGACATTAAAAATGTGGTACTCCATTAGGACTAGACTAGTATTGACCACTACTCCAGGACCGCTGATGCCGATCACGCACAACCCAGACCTCGCAGGTGGCCTTACGCCACGTGACATCAAGGCCTTCGGCGGTATAGACTGGACATACATGCAACAGTGGCGCACGAACGATTCACTGAAGCAACTGCCCGATCTGCTACCTGAACGGATACCAATGGGAATAGACAGATTCCCATATTTTCAAACCAAAAACCTACTACCAAGCTCACCCAGGGAGAAACTTATTCCACAGGCCCCTGACAGAGTTCGAGAAATTATGCACGAGACGCGAACATATGTGCAGAGGAATCTCGAACCTCTATGCGATGATAATGACCTCAACGCAGCCTGAGCCTCTAAAACACATAACGCGCTGGGAAGAAGCTGCGGGTGTCACGCTGACGGCTCCCCAATGGACGAAAATCCATATTCTGACTCATCAAAGTTCCATGTGTACCAGACAAAAGGAACTCAATTATAAATTACTGACCAACTGGTATAGGACGCCAGAGAGGCTACAAAAGATGATGCCAGACGCCACAGTGACTTGCTGGCACTGCAGAGACGAGGTGGGCACAGACCTCCATATATGTTGGTCCTGCTCGAAGATAACCCCATACTGGCAACAAATACAAACTCAGATCAAACACATCGTAGATACTGACATCCCCCTACAACCACTCCAGATGCTTCTTCACCACACACCGCTACCCATCTCAAAATATATTTAAAAAAATTAAAGAAATAAAAAATTGCTAACCAAGCACCTACTGAACGCTGCCAAAATGCTCATCCCAACACAGTGGCGAACCACGCAGGTACCCACTCTCCAACACTGGATGGACAGGGTCGAGGAAATTCATGGGATGGAACAACTAACCGCCTCGCTACATAGCACCACGGAAAGATACCTGCAAATCTGGACGCCCTGGCTAATGTTCATATCTGAAAGACCAAACTAGACATCCGGACCTACGAATAATGCTAATCTGGAAATGCAGCTGCCCCGGATGACTGAAACGCAGAGACGCCTCTTCTGGTCCTGAGGGCGCGCCCGGCCGGACACTGGACGGGGGAGAGGGAGTGCCGCATTCCCTGTGGCAACCGTGCACCCCAACCCGTCTTCTCCACCTCCCCCAATACCTTTCCTCGCTTTGTCCCCTTCTCGCTTCTCATAATCTTACGGAGTCCCACACATTACACACATACTTTCAAAGCCACAGATAGATTGAGCCAGGCCTCTCACCTCCTGACTATCACCACGCTATAGCCCAGAGATAGACCGCACACGGGCTCCCCCGATAAGTCCCCAAACAGCTAACATAGACCGAGGCGCCAAAATGGTAGCTCGCAAAAGATTACATAAAGGCATATGAAGAAGGGAAAAGACGTCCATAGGCGCTCATAGGGAGGCATAACGGGCCCCTGGACCATGAAAGAAGCGGACAGAATATAAACCCCCAATAACCGGGTACATGGCTAAATTGGGCGCAAGCCCCCACAAGATAGGGACCCCAAACCCTGCACCTATTAGACATGGACTGCATAAACACCACACCTAAAAATAAGGCACTACTGCACACTAAATCGGGTTACACACCGCCCAAGAGCCCAAAATAAGGTACTACTGATGGCGGGGGGTGAGGGCCGATGAAGGCTTATAACCAGGCTAATACAGATTTATTTCCGAAAGCCTTGCTTACCACTGTAATTGCTTTTGAAAAAATTTTCTGTAAACGGGTTTGATGCAAAAACTTGAGCTGAAGACTCACTTGCTCGTGCTGTATTTTGCTGTTGTACTTTGACAAGATGTCGGCTTGTACACCCTTTATGTTTCAATAAAGAAAATAGATTGACAAAAAACAAAAAAAAGTTCAATTTACAGAGCAAGAAATAAATAAAATTACATCTGTTTGAAAGTGAAACCAGTTTTTTTTTTTCATGCAGGCTCTGTCAATCATAGCCAGGGGAGGTGTGGCTAGGGCGGCATAAACAGAAACAAAGTGATTTAACTCCTAAATGACAGTGAATTGAGCAGTGAAATTGCAGGGGAATGATCTATACACTAAAACTGCTTTATTTAGCTAAAGTAATTTAGGTGACTATAGGGTTCCTTTAACTTACTTTAGAAGTTTTTTTTCTCCTGCTATGTAAAAAAGAGAGACTTGATTACATACAGGAGGCTCCTGCAGGGTCTAGAAGGCTATCAACAGAGCAGGAGATAAGAAATAAATTAAACAGACTGTGCAATAAAGGAAGTTTAAACATTACAGGACTCTTTACAGGAAGTGTTTATGAAGACTGTGTAAGTTACGTTCAGGGAGGAATGACTAGGGCTACATAAACAAAGTGATTTAACTCCTAAATGGCAGAGAATTAAGCAGTCAGACGGCAAGGGCATGATCTATACACCAAAACTGCTTCATTAAGCGAATATAGTTTTAGTGACTATACTGTCCCTTTAAGCCCACTTTATATGATTATATGGTATTTATCATCTTACTCCCCAATAGCCATTGCCTACCATGCTGGAATAGCTGCACATGTGCCCTATATCAAACTATCTTGACTTACGATGTATTAATTTTTTGCAGCTGACACGAGTGCCTAAAGAACGTCAAATGAAATACAACTGGCCTAACATTTAAACAGGCTTTGAACAAGCTTTTCAAATCATTTCATATTTTTGGTAACATTTTTAAATTGCTTTAATATTATGAAAATTATTTTAGCATTGTAATGTATTTTAATATATTGTTTTTTTTTGTATATATACACACATTTTTTGATATTTTAATATTTTTAAGAAAAAAAAAAAAATATTTTAAAAGTTTATCCAATAATATTAAATAATTTTAAAAACTTGGACGCACTATAAAAATTTTAACAGGAGGTATATACTATGTTTCTGATGCAGCTATAATTGCTACAACAATCTCCAGCATTAACTGCTGATTGCGAGGGATCAGGATTAGACAAATCAGCATCACAAAATGCAATAATGGAAATCTGGTCGAAGGATTTAAGAGTGGGAGATGGACTGGTACCAAAGAGAATCACTTCAAGACATTTTTGGCCAGTATTGTATGTTTATTTTGTGTTTACATTCATCATTTAAGTTATGTTTTTACCGGTGTAAACTATGAACTTCATTTTAAGCAGACTTAACTACTCTAGGAGTAATTTTATACTAGAACCCTCTTTAAGAACCCAAACATTGGATCAAGTTTAATAACTTCTCGCTGAATACTTGCAAGCAGTGTTTTCGATTATTTTTTACTGTAATAATGTAACAGAAATTTATTCTATTTTTTTCTGGTGCCCGAGAATTTTTTCAAAACAAAAAGAAGTGATTTGGATTATGTATTACAAATTATCAGTGACATGACTGATGTCGCAATGTCAACAAAAGTACATTTGAAAGACATGCAAAGAACACGACAAACATTGCGCAATGTGATATTCGACTTCTGCACTTGGAGATCCATGGGACAACTGAAGTGTTTAAATTTTCCTGCTCTGCCTGTTTGAAACTGTCAAACATCGACCATAAAAAAACAAATATTGGGGGCGTGGCCTGCTCGGGTATGGAGTAGGACGCATCCTGAACCTGCTCCGCGGCCCCAGCTCACACTAGCACCCATCAACGAGCGCTATCCGACCCGAGATGGGTAAATCCCGGAGACCCCACACGCCGGGACCCTCACAAGCCGGCTCGCCGGGTCGCACCTCGGGCCCCATGGACGGCTATGTATGCACGCCGCGAGACATGCGGTCCGCGCCGGCCGCATCCAAAATGGCGCCGGCCTCCCCAGGGGACAGCAGCAGTGACAGCCTGACGCAGGGCTCACCCAGGGGAGACACTCTGGCGCATATTTCATCCGAGCTGGCCAAGATCACTGCCAATATGCTGTCCAGAGCTGACAAAGCTGAGATGCTGGCAGAAATCAGGACTGCAATCAGGGAGGAAGTCATGGAGGTGAGGAAAGACCTGACAGCCCTTGAACAAAGGGTAGAGGCCCTTAAAGCAGACAGAGCCCAGACTGTGCAGCACCAACAGGCCACAGACACTGCCACCACCAGACAGGGCAATGTCCTACTAGATCTCAGGAGACAACTAGAAGACCTGGACAATCGCGCAAGGAGGAACAATATCCGCATAAGGGGCCTACCCGAAAACGCGGACGAAACGCTGCCAGAGCTCCTGACAGACCTGTTTACCCATATTCTGGGTGACAGAGCCCCAGAAGACTACGGTATCGAAAGAGCCCATAGAGCGCTGAGACCCTTGTCCCCTGAGGGACCGCCGAGAGACGTAATCTGCTGCTTGCTCTCTTACGCCTTAAAAGATGGCATCATGAGAGCGGCGCGCAATCAACAGAACATCGCCTTTAGAGACGGGCAGGTCTCGCTTTACCAGGATCTCTCCGCGCTCACGCTAGAGGCCAGGAGGGCGCTACGTCCAGTAACCGCCATTCTCCGGGAACGGAGGATCCCGTACAAATGGGGCTTCCCCTTCAGCCTGCAGGCGAGGGTGGGCCAAACCTGGCATATCATCCGCTGGCCAGCTGATGTTCCACGCTTCCTACGAGCCACGAGTCTACCCGCGGTGACGATATCCAACTGGGTCCTGGAGCGACAACCACAGCATCCACGGGCGGTAAGCGACAGGCCGGGCACGGGCCTCACAGGCAGCGGGTTCCAGCGGGGTGGCCCAGACAGCCATGAAGAATAACTGTCCCCTATGAACCTGTTCCCCTACCTCCCATTCTGCTAACCCGACCGTCAACCTGCCACCCCACCAACGGCCCCCCAGCCACTACGAGAGAAGGCCACAAGACAGCTCAGAAGACCTAGACACGACCACGAGACGACATTGCCCCCCACGCACCTGGTCGAACCACAGCACAACTTGGTATGTACTTGACTCCCTGACCTAAGCCCGCAACATGGGGTCCAGATCCTCATTAGCAGGGGGTGGCCTAACCTGAGCCTCACAACCAGGGGTGGGGACCCCCAGGAGATAGACTTTGCATGGACATGCCACGCTGGGACTCTCCTAGTGGCCAAGGCCCAGGAACACCAGCTACCTTTGGGTGGAGGGGGTGCGGGGATGGAAGCTGGGAGGCTGCCACCATACCAGGGTTATACCCACCGCTGTAAGGGTGATCTCCCCAAGCTCTAGCCTGAAGGGCACGACCGATAGCATAGATCCCAGCACCTTCTGGACAGCCGAGGGCCTCTCAGGCATGTAATGGGGCCACCAAGGGGGGGGTGCGGGGAGCTCCCTTTGGGGGGGGGGGAAGAATGGGGGGCCATGCTCCACAACTGTTTATTATGACTGTTATATTGGTTTATGGTTTTTATTGTTTGTAAACAATTACGCGGACGCGGTACAATACGTGTAGCAACAGTTACAGAATGACGTGAAACTTGGGGCCCGAGTTAGACTCAGACACATACACAGACCATACATGGGCCGAGACAGGGAGGGGCAACGAGGGTGGGTGGGGTTTCCGGGACGGGAACATACTCGGAGAGATCTACAACCCAACACAATAGGTGAGCTGGGAGCCAAGGGAAAGGCTCGACACAACACTATCGAACGACCCACACTAGAGGGACCGCATACCCCAAGCAACGGACTCACGTTGTATATACACTCGGAGGCCACCGAGGTGACTCACCCCCAGGGGAACAGACACCAGAAGGCGACAAAAACCGAGGCGAGTCACAGTTGCCTCTCTCTTGGACAGACTATCACCCTCCCCAGACACCGGACAGACCTTACCCCTATACCCATCAACCACTGAAGCACACATACCCACACACACCTCACAACAAACACTGATAGAGATGGGCTCTAACTACAAGCCGACACCACTGACCCTATGGTCTAACAATGTAAGAGGCTTAAACATTCCCGAAAAAAGGTCCCAACTACTTCGCACACTGTGGGCAGAGCGCGCCTCAGTGGCGTTCTTACAGGAAACACATTTTCAGGGTACAGAGGCGCCAAACGTGAGAAACAGGCGTTACCCCACAGGATTCTATGCTAATCACCCGGACGGGAAGAAGGCCGGAGTAGCAATCCTACTCTCCAGTACAGTCCCATTCGTTTGCACGGAGCAGAAGTCAGACCCCGGGGGTAGATACGTATTTATCAAAGGCACGATAGCACAGTCCACCTACACATTTGCCTGCCTGTACTCCCCTAATCGACGTCAACACGTCTTCCTAACTAAAACGCTAGCCCTACTAAACAAATTCAGAGAAGGCCTTCTGATAGTGGCAGGAGACCTCAACATTCCCCTTGACTCTAGGTTGGATACATCTAGGGGAGAAACTTCGATACCAGGTCACTGCATACGCTCAACAGGGAGGGCCTTAGCCCGGTGTGGCTTAGCTGACTGCTGGAGAGTGGCTAACCCCGAGGGCAGAGACTACACCTTCTACTCGGCTGTACATCGACGCTACAGCCGAATAGACTACATCCTAATGGCGCAAGAGGCCCTAACACTACTCCAGCGAGCTAGCATAGGGCATATCGCAGACTCTGACCACGCCCCCATTACAGTACAAATCCAATCCCCCCTACATAAACCTGCAGAGCGGCAATGGAAGTTGAACGAAAACTTACTACTTGACCTAGTGGACAAGGAACAAGCCAGGCAAGCACTGACACAATACTTTGACACTAACAACACGCCAGACACCCCCCCCCTAACAATCTGGGAGGCACATAAATGTGTCATTAGAGGCCACTATATCAAAATATGCTCACAGCGTAAAAAAGAACGCACACAACAATTGTCCACCCTAAACGCACAAATCACCACACTAGAGCAGGCACACAAACAAAATCAGGGGGAAAACGAGTTCCACCGACTGACGGAGCTTAGGAGGCAGAGACGGGACATACTAGCCAAGGGCCTTTTGCGCACCCTTAGAAAGTCGGCTCGGCACTTCTTCGAGTACTCCAACAAGAGCAGTAGGCTTTTAGCCCGCCAGCTTCAAGACAGGAGAAGGGCGAACCACATACACAAAATTAACACTAGAGACAAGACTGTAACAAGTCTACCCGACGGAATCCAACGTGCTTTTGTGGACTACTACACCGACTTATATAATATCCCCCAGCCCACGACGGTCACCACACAGGCCCAACGCCGGGGACAAATAACGGAGTACTTAGACCAAAATGTAGAAAGACAATTGACCCCAGAAATGATAGAGGAACTAGAACGACCCCTCACGATAGAAGAGTTAGCCGCAGCATTAAAAATCTCCAAATCCCACAGGGCGCCTGGCCCAGATGGCCTTCCGCTGGCATACTTGCGAACATTCCGCGATGTATTATTGCCGAACCTCCTACGAGGTCTTAGCTCACTTCAAGACGGGGAACGGTTTCCCACTGACACACTAGCGGCCATAGTCACGGTGATACCTAAAGAAGGTAAAGACCCAGCGAATTGCGCTAGCTACCGCCCCATATCCCTGCTCAATGCAGACCTCAAACTGTTCGCCAAGACACTAGCCCTGCGAATCGCGAAGCACCTACCACACCTAGTGCACTCGGACCAGGTCGGGTTCATCCCAGAGAGGGAGGGAAGAGATAACACCATCAAAGCCCTAAACATACTGCAAGTAGCAAGGTCGCAACACCGGGAGCTACTCCTCCTCTCGACAGATGCCGAGAAGGCCTTCGACCGGGTGGACTGGCTGTACTTGGAGGAAACACTCACACACATGGGATTCGGCCCACGCATGCGATCATGGGTCCTTTCCCTGTACACGAGCCCGACGGCACGGATTCGGGTGAATGGTGCTCTGTCCACCCCCTTTCCCATTCGAAATGGAACCCGCCAGGGCTGCCCGCTGTCCCCCCTCCTGTTTGCCCTCTCCCTGGAACCCTTCCTGGGGGCGGTCCGACGAGATGGGGGTATCACGGGATTCACCGTCGGCCGGCGAGAATATCGAGTTGCGGCATACGCGGATGACATGTTGTTTTTCCTCACCCTTCCGCGGATATCACTTCCTAATCTTCTGGCCGCATTCCGAAGGTTTGGCTTGATATCTAACCTTAAGCTCAACACAGATAAGTCAGAAGCCCTTCACCTTCCAAGCCCCCAGGACTCCTCAACGACGCTACACACCCAATTCCGCTTCAAATGGTGCCCCACTAAATTGAAATACCTGGGTATATGGCTACCAAAAGACATGACCCAACTGTACTACCAAAACTACCACCCGCTGCTACAAAAGATCCAGGCAGACATGAGAAAATGGGCCCCACAATATATATCTTGGTTTGGACGCATTAACGCAGTCAAAATGAACCTACTACCCAGACTGCTCTATTTATTCCAGACGGTGCCGATCGCGGTCCCCAGGGCGTTCTTTAGCTCCCTGTTGACCGCCATCCGCAGATTCGTTTGGAATTCGCGCCCAACACGCATCAAGAGAACGACATTGGAACTGCCAAAACCGTTGGGGGGTACCGGCCTGCCCTCAATTGAGACATACTACCGGGCCGCACATTTACACAGGCTCACAGACTGGCACGCACAGCATCCCACAAAACAATGGGTCACGCTGGAATTGGAACAGTCGGGAGGGCACATACCCCCCACATTATGGCTACACACTGCTACGCATGCAGATCTACAAACTAAAAACCCCTTAATAGACGCCACCCTGAGGGTCTGGATGGCAACCCGATACCGTCTACAACTCACCACTTCGCCCAGCCCCCTGATCCCCCTCACACATAACCCGGACTTGGCAGATTCACTGACTCGAGGTGACCTAGCCGGACTCCAACCGACGGACTGGTCATATATACACCAATGGCTCAGCACCAACGGCCTAAAAACAATCGGAGAACTATGCCCCGACAGAACACCTACATTCCTTGAACAGTTTAGATACCGCCAAATAAAATCTTACTACTCAGCCCTGTCGGGTAAGGGGCACCTACACAGACCCTTAACTGACTTTGAAACCCTATGTGTGCAACGCACACACATCACCAGGGGAATTTCAACCCTGTACACCCTACTCACGACTCAGACGAACAGGGACGTGGAGCTTAGGTTCAAAGACCACTGGGAGAGGGATGCGGGAGAGACACTCACTGCGCACGAATGGGACAAGATTTATACCCTCACGCACAAATGCTCTATCAGCTCAAAATATCAGGAATTAAACTACAAAGTGCTAACGCGCTGGTATAGAACGCCCGACACACTGCACCGCATGCACGGTACCACGTCAGGCATGTGCTGGCGATGTGGCACACAACCTGGCACGTATCTCCACATGTGGTGGTCATGCCCAGTAATTGCCACTTTCTGGGAACAAATTAGAGGAGAGATCAACAAAATTACAGGCACCGATATCCCCCTGGCACCCCTAACGATGCTTTTGCACCACACCCAAAGCCCACTGACAGCCTACAAAAAATCCCTGGAACTGCCGCTACTCAATGCCGCCAAATCCCTTATCCCGAGGATGTGGAAACAGCCAAGAGCGCCCACCTTGAGGCAATGGATGTCAGTGGTAGAGGACATATACTCAATGGAGACCCTGACGGCCGACCTCCACGGGAAATCGGAGCGGTGTGCATTGACCTGGTACCCATGGACCACATACGTGGCAGATGGAACTGTAACCCCCGAGCCAATATAGCTGAAACTCACAGAACACCACGTTAACTGCCTTACCCCCTCATAAGCACAGACACGCCCTACCCATTAACCACACACAGACTACGGACAGTTTTCACCCCCCCCAGACCACAACAGACATCAGGAAGACATAACACCCGCTAGAACAAACTACACAAACCACCGATACCTGGAGTACTCCAGGACGGACACCTTAAATACCCCCTACAGCTACTAGACCAGATACCGGTTCTCACCCTAAACGTAGAGTGCACATCATAAGTGCAACAAACTGCGCACTGAATGCAAGAGGAGCTAGGAGCCTTGAAACCTGATCATATGTTACACTACCTAATGCATGTGAAGGAAACTATTGAAATATTTATGATTTGAGAATGTTAGTATAAAGGCTACGAATGTTGTTATGCTATTCAGAAATATGATGTTACAACTGATGTTTCACCGTATCTACACATTTTTGTGACAAAATGATAAAAAGGAAAATAAAGATTGTCAAAAAAAAAACAAAAAAAAACAAATATTAAATCAAATGATTTATAAAAAAAAACAACAAACCATTTAATTAACTAAGCTTTACATATCTAGCAAAAACAATAAGGAAAACTATGCTTGTGATACGTATTTTCAGATATGAACGGATGTGGACAAAAAAATTAACCTGTTGAATTGTAAACCCTTTAACATGTGCACCGTCATATACGGGATAAACCTGCAACAGAACAAAAACAAGAAAAGGGGGGGAAAAAGCCTTCTCAAGTATAAAATGGTTTTTCAAACACGAATGCTTGTAGCGTGATATGGAGAAGGAAAGACACGAAAGAAAAATAAATTAAGGTCCGCTGTCCAAGTTATCCACTTTTGCATGACACTTCTTTTGGTGTTTGAGAAGCTGCGGTCTCTGAACAAACGTACGAGGACAAACAGAACAAGTGTATGGTCGCTCTCCAGTGTGAGTCCGTTTATGTAATACAAGGTGTGTGCTATGTTTGAATGTCTTCCCACACTCTTCACAGGGGTACGGTCTCTCTCCCGTATGCGTTCTTTGATGTGTAATGAGGTGAGAACTGGATGTAAAGCTTTTTCGGCATTCAATGCACGCATACGGCTTTTCCCCAGTGTGCGTTCGCTGATGTGTAATTAGATGGGAGCTCTGAGTGAAGCTTTTTCCGCAGTCCTTGCATACGTATGGTTTTTCTCCTGTGTGAGTTCTTTGATGAACAATGAGGTATGTGCTAATGCTAAAGGTTTTTCCGCATTCAGAACATTCAAATGGTTTTTCACCAGAGTGGATTCTCTGGTGCTTAAGCAAAGTAGAGCCATCACTAAAACTCTTATCACAGTCCGGACAGGTAAATGGTCTTTCCACTAAATGTGTTCGTTCATGTCTCATCAGATTCGAACGCTGGGTGAAACACTTACCACATCTTGTACAAACAAAGACTGAAATACCTGTGTGTATCTTCTGGTGCTTAACAAGATAGGACTTCTGACTGTAGCTTTTCCCACATTCAGAACAAGAATGTGGACCATTTACTCTTTGCTGCAAGTATTTGACACCTGAAGCATTAATCTGTTTAAGATGTAATTTACGGTGTGGTTTAAGTTCCCTTGTCTCTATGTCTTCGTCTGTGTAAAAAGAGGTGTATTCCACACCAACACGGTGACGCAGATTATACTGACATACAGAAGGTCTTCCATCTTTATTAATTTCTTCATAATGTGGTTCAAAACTTAGGCCTGCCACCGCCCATCCATGTGGTGTAAACAGGGACCTAACCAGTTCAGCTGTTGTATATTTGGAGCCATCTATGATAGAAAAAAATACCTACTGTCAGTATCCAGTGAACACAATTCATAGATCAATGAAAATACATCATTTGGGATGCAGCCCATCTCACCTGAATTCATTAATATATATACGGAACACTTTAATTAAAGCAAATCTACTTAAGTTATATACAAATTCTTAAACAGGTAATCCAATCGAAGCAATAGAATAAAATAACGGATGATCAAATGCAATGTCAACACCATTTTTAAAATGAAACTCTAAGCACCAAAACTACTACAGTTTAAAGGCACACTATAGTGTTAGGAATAAAACACCTGTATTCCTAATACTATATTGTTCTTCTCTTTACTTAGATTAAATCTAATAAATAATTAGAAAGAGAAAAAAAAAACAACAAAAAAAGTTTTACTTTTTTTCCCCAGCGCCAAGAGCAATTTTCCTTGACTGCTCATTCTGCCTCCTGTGACATCACGGCGACGCTTGTAAAAACCCAATCCAATTCAAACGAGCATTGGAGGAAAAAAAAAAAAAAAAAAAAGCATGCACAGCTGTGCCACTTTTGGAAGTAAGCTGTGAGAAGTGAGTTTAACACAGTTCTTACAGCAGAAGCACTTTTAATGGCTGCCAGGTAGACAGTTACTAGAGGTGTATTTAACGCTGCAAAGTAAGCTGGTGTACCAACTACACGTTAATGTTTTACATTGCAAAAGAACCATTGCATTCAGATCACTTTATCACAATGAAGTGGCCTGGGTGCCTTTAGTTGTCCTATAATGTATTGGATCTGGGGCAATCTCGGGAGTGTAAAGACTGCATTTTATGAGAAAATACATTGTTTACGTTGCCTCCTATGACCACCTTTAGTTAATGCATCTCTCTGATTGGAGCAGAGCAGCAATTACTGCGCATGCACACAAACACCCAGTGCGTCCTATGGGAAAGCAAAAGATTGGCTGAGATTATCAATATTGAGGATCTCAGCCAGTGTCAGAGCAGCGGACCTGTCAAGACAAGTGTGCTGGGGAATAGAAGGTTTATTTTCTGACTTTGCATTGATTCTATGTTCCAAGTTCCTTTGCATAATAACATTCATTTTGTGATTGACTACTAATAAGAACTCATTACACAGTCCCCTTTCCTTCAATATTACAACATCCCCCCCAGTATTATAGAATAAGACAAAGGAGTTTACATGTGATAAATTTGGTGGTAAAACGTTCAAAATGTCAGACAAACCTCCATACAGACTGACTTGAGGGTGTTGAACTTTTTAAAAGACAAAATTTACCAATGCCGACTACAAAGGTGGTAACATTAATACAGATAAATAACTAATCAGATACATTTTAGTTTTAACGGACATCGAATGTCTCATTTTTTTGTAATACTTACTCTGAATGCGTTGGGTAGTTTTTTCTGGACTTTCCCTCTTAGACACGTAAAGATTTTCTCCACGTTCAATGCTTGTGATTAATTTGGGCTTTTTGTTTCTATAACCTGGGTGATTTAAAATAGTTACATTAAGCGTGCATTTTTGCTTACTAAGGTTTATTAACGAGATTGTCAGAAATTCTAAGGGAATTTTTAGGTTTCTGGCCAAAAATTTGTTGAACTAAAAAAACCATAGCGGGATTCGAGATTATCTCAAGTTTGTCTACTTTGAACTTTATCACAATTTGACAGTCAGGGTTTGTAACAGAAGTGGTTGTCACAAACTCAAACAGGATTATTTACTAAAGTGGGAATTGGTGAGAATTCACAGTGAATTTCAAATTTTAAGAATGTAATTGCTCAACTGGAACAATGATCCAAGTTAGCTTTCTGTTAATTTAAAGAGCACAGCACGCCATAGATGCATTGTGCTAGCAAATGTAGAGATGAAAGATTATTCTCTTTTTTTGTGACTTTTGACAGTGAATGCCTTAATGGCTGCAACACTGGCAAAATAGTGAAGACTGCATCCATTGGCATCACGCCCTACTGCTGCCACTCTGCCCAAAATGTCTTAGTTTCCGGCACACTAGGAATTGTAAATTGCCTAATCGCAGTTCTGCATGCAGTCTCTCCATCTTTGAAAACGTAATTTATGAATACTGATGTTAAAACCTTTTTGCTAATAAGAATCTCCCTTCTTATCGACCATTGTGGTTACAGTTTTGTGGACCGGGCTGTACACCGTGAACTCCTGCAAAGCTCTGCTTGAAAAAGGACGAGTTTGTGCAACTTTCACAAGCTGAGTAAGCTTTATTTACGCAAACAGCATATCTAGACAGGGAAACAAGCCGGCGATCTTAATACCAGACCTTATATTTGCTATGACTGAATAACCTTTCAGTCTAGGAGTTAATAAATCACAAGTAAACTCCGTACTATACAGAGAAAAAAAAAAAAAAAAGGATCGAAGCACAATGTAGCTGAAAAAGCAAAAATAGATTGTCCCCCCCTTTTCAGCTACATTTCCAGTAAAAATAAACAAACAACACAAATCTGCCAATCAGTGGCCTAGTACCTTTATCTTGTAAAAGGATATTTTTCAAACCCACACCGCTATCCAGACATGGAGTGACATCTTAGAGTGTGTGATGACTTTTTTTTTCTGTACTTTATTTACTTTGTGTATGTGATCTGCTTGAACTCATAAACATATATCAAGGAAATGAGTAAACTACAGTGAACTAACCCAAAAAATGAACAGTTTGGTAGTTGTCCATCATTACTTCCCGATAAAGCTTCTTTTGTCCATGTTTTAAATAGCGCCATTCGTCCTCTGAGAAATATACGGCAATGTCTTCAAACTCTGGGGGCTAAAAACAAAGCAATTACCTACATCGATAACATTTTACTACACAGGAAAAAAACATTGCACTAAGCTAAGATAAATCAGTCAGTAATTTTACAATGTCAAACTGATTACCTAATAATCCCTTATTAAACATTGAGATACTTGTGTGATTAAAGAACTAGAAGGATTTTTTTGCACAACTGAAAAACTAACTAAAAGTTAGGAGTCATGCTATTTATTTCTTAAAGAACTCACTAGTTATGTGTTTACTTTACAAGTATTGCCTGGTATGTAAATTAGTTAAATACCCCTGGACCATCTTAAAATTGCTAGTCAGCTGATCACTTTCCGCCAATGAGCTAAGCCCTCAAGAAAGTTAATGGAAGTTGTTACTGGGGAACGTAGTGGGGATGAGGACCAAAGATTAGAAGTCAAACCGTTGAAAAACATTTTGACTATTTACAAAGAAGGAGGAGAAATTGCCAAATAACCATTATGGCGAGTGTGGCGAAAGTAACCCCGCCACGGGCTTTTGGAGGGACCTGCTGGCCAGCCTCCTACCTCAGGACTATGGCCCCTGTAATAGACCTTGCTGCAGGACTGTGAAAAGGCTCTGTTCGTGCCTTTTGAATCACCAGGTTCAGTACATGAGATGTACTGAACGGATTATGGTTGCTGTGTTAGTGTGCCGAACAGACTACCGAACGAAGAGACCACCTGGAAGTGAAGTGTGTCACTTGTTAACCCTATTGAACTTGTTAGCAGCAATAACCGCAACATTCTGAATGGTCAGCTGGGTGGCGGCCATTTTATTCCCACGAACGCGTATAGCGGTGTTTGGTCGTCGAGTGTATGGAACCCAAATCGGACACTCGACAGCACGAACACTGCTGGGACTTCCATCTCCAGGTATGTTCGGTGGTGTTCATATGAGAAGAGCAGCGTTCGGTGGGAACACACTCCCGAACGAGGGGCACAAGGCAAGCATACACACGAACATCTCCATTCATATTTGTATGTATTTTGTACTCCTGAAAGAGACCGACCGCACAGCCTGATTTCTTGGAACTCTTTTGGGCAGGAGCCTCATGTGCGGTCGGTCAAACTATGACTTCCATGGAAATTCCGAACCCCTGAACCAATCTGGGTAAGTTTTGGATATGTTGGTCGCCCAGATCGGGGTGATTAGGGGATTGACTTTTGTGGGGATTCCATGTGTTTCAGGGGTACTTTAGGGATATTGTAATATCTATGTTTTCTGTGCCTGGAGATAATGGAGTTTAGTACAGTTCCTGACTCAATTATCTCTCAAGCACAGGGGAGGAATTATCCTATTTCGTGTGGGAGTGTCCTGGCCCGGAGAGCCAATGTCATACTTTGTCATCCCCTGGGAATGCCCCTGGAATATGTCATAGTAAACCCCTGGGAATGCCCCTGGAATATGTCATAGTAAACCCCTTGCATGGGGACCTGCATATAAGGCCAGTTGTGGCTGCCATTAAGCAGTTCCTCTTCACTCTCAACATAGAGCCTCGTCTCATGTGTGGAGGGGAGAGGTATATTCACTCTGGGGATTGCTAAACTCACTATACTTCTTTGGATTACAACATTAGCTCTTGTAAGAGTTATCCTGCTTTACTCTCTGGGCTAGGAAAGGTCTACCCACTGGAAGCAGGACCCTAGCCTTGGACAGGTGGAGGACAGCAAGATCCCAGCCAAGCTGTAACGCTGGCTGTGGGGTTTACAGTGGTTATGGTGCCCGGTGGTGTGCTTAGGAGTACTCGGGGTTGCTAGGAAGCAGCGATTGGCGGAGGCACCCAGTCGGGGTGCCAGGCGGTCCACCACAATGAGCAAGTGTTTTTTTTCACAATTTTGGCTAATTAGCTTAAATAAAGATGACAATTCTGTCTCTCGCTTTTGTTTAGCATTGGTTAGCAATCTAGAAGAGAACGGTGGTCTGCACACTGGAAGACAGGTAGGAGTGTAGTTATAAGTTACTATACGTGCACACTAGGATAGATTTACACAGATTACCTGGCTTCTGATTACAAAGTTTTCTTTCCAAGCACAACCCTATAATACCTGTATGACACAATGCATAATATGACCTGTAATTCACCTGTGGATTTTTTCTGAATCTTCTGCCAGAAGTTTTAAGTGCTGCTCCCCCGTCTCTGGAATTCTTCAAGTTAGGCTTCCAAAGCAGACAGTCCGTGATCACCGTCTTCATCTTAGACTTCCGTTGGAGACCACCTTTACACCTCCGCAGCTTAGGCTTCCGTTGGAGACCACCTTTACACCTCCGCAGCTTAGCCTTCCTTGGAGGAATGTCTGCATTTTTCAACTTAGGCATCTGAGGTACAGCGTTAATTCACTCAATTATAATATTAAAGGCAATCCTCTATATTTTTATGAATTTTACCCCTCTGCTCTTGGCTCCAGATTTTACTATTTGAATGACCTACATCAGGAGCCAGGGGTCTCCAAACACTTTTTGGCATCCATGTCATCTTCAATAAGATGACATGGTTATAGTGCCTAGAGTGTCCCTTTAAACCAAGGACATCGATAAAGAATGGTCACTAAACCAGGTGTTTAGAAAGACATGTGGTCAGGTGAGTGCCTCACTCAGCAGTACCCACAGGAGCGAGAAGAGAAGTTTACATAATCAAGGCTATTCACTAAATACTGGATTCTGTCCAAATGGACAAAATAAAGTGAAAATGACCAAATTCCTATCGCATTGTCAATTTGTAGATTTACTGAAGCCAAATGCGGTCATGATTCAGTCCATCTGACTGATTCTGAAACATTAATGGTTAATACGTGGTGGCTGAACAGTGCTTGCTAGCCATCCGCCACATTAAACAAGTAAAAATAAATACAGAGATAAAATTCAATGGGGTTAGATTACTAAAACGGAGGTGTTTTACCTCCTTACGCTCCCATCTGCCGCATGTCTACTAAATGTTTAAACCTAGCGAGAGGGCAGCCATTGCAGCTTAGTCGCTAGAAAAGGGCCGTCTTAATTCCAACTGCATTCATTGATTTAGACCAGGGATTCTCAAACTCCGAACCCCAGATGTTGCTGAACTATAACTCCCGTGATTCTTTGAATTACATAGATAGCCAGAGAATCATGGGAGTTGTAGTTCAGCAACATCTGGGGGGCTGGAGTTTGAAGACCCCTGATTTAGACTATACCGAATATTCATTTTTTTTTCTTCTCATTTTAGTGCCTTGTGTGCTTGAAATTTTCATTTATTTAGCTTTTTACATTTTATATTTGAGTTTGATTTTAGAGTTTCTGTATAGTATATAACATATTCAGTGCTGCTTTGAATTAGATAACGGTGGGCACAAGGAGTTTACCTTATAAATATGATTTGCTTCTAATTTACCGCACGGTTTACTGCTCACTGTGACAACCCTTTTCAAATAATTTTTATTAAAAAGTTTTAAAATTTTGTATAACAAGTAATAATAATACAAACATTGTATTAGGGGTAGGAAAGGAAGGGGAACTTGGAAATGGGAAGGGGTATCCATCCATCATTGAAATAGGCATAACAATGTATATGGCAAAATGTTGTACATCAATGCACTTTAACAATAAATATATCAAAGACCATAAACTGTTTTTTTTCCCATTTATCCCAATTATATTTTAATATTGGGAAACCGTGCATATTAGCTCTATGCAATAATTTGTGTGCCTTGTTTTCTAGAATCAAATTGAAAACTTCTCTGAGAGATGGCCCATTTTGGGACTTCTAATGTCTAGGTAAACCGGATGTAGCAGCGATCAGAATGTGGCCTATGATTACTTTATCTGATCTATTAACAGACTCCGGGAGTTTTTTTAAACAAGGCTAGTTCCGAAGTTAAAATGCTAATGGTTCTGTCCACTTTAATAATTAGATCATGAATGATTTACCACCAGATATGGGCCATATTGCCCACACCCCCAGCATCTCTCCAACACCGGTCAGAATACATATTATTCATGTTGTGCAATCTAGACGGAGCCAGGTACCAGCGATATAAAATTTTATAATGATTTTCAAAATGGTCGGTGCAATACGAAATACCTTTTAAAGCTTAAAAAAAAAAAAAAAAAAAGGAACCATTCTTCTAAATCGTACTGGGCACCCAACTCCGTTTCCCATCACAACATATGTTTTAAGGGCTTGGCATTATAAAACGAATAACATACCTTTGCTAGTGGGGCTGTATAAAAAAACTCTCTAATGGGAGATATCTCAAGTGATTTATAGTTTTTATCTGTTTCAGGTACCTGGTATAGTTCTTTCAATTTGTCAATGATTAGCATACATTCCAGTTCACATACATTTGTTAATCCATACTTAAGCTTGAATTTTTCCAAAGAAAGAATAGAATTGCCATAAAAAAAATGTATCCAGATTAGTTATAGAGCAATCCTTCAACAATTCTGTGATGGAATTTCAGTGAAATGTAAATTTAGTAGGCCGAGATTTCCATGTGGCATATTTGTATGTTGTATCAGTTAGTTAGTTACACGTAGCTAAGATACTGTCATCAATATACTGAGCATGTGCAGGAATGCAGGAACTGAAATCACATGCCTTTCTCCTTTGTTTTGGATGAGCCATGTGGTCTGCCCATATAAGGAAATCCAGATCCTGTCCATCGATTGGTTAAGGGTATGTGCGGGTGGAGCTATTAATGGGAGGAGTTATAGTTCTAGAAAAAGCATGTACTCCATGTGTTCGGCCCTCAGACCTGTTTTGGAACGTTAGTTCATCTGAGACCCGATTGGTATGTTAATTGTTAATAAAGACCTTTTACTTCCTGAAAACCTGCATCCATCTCTCTGTGTCTGGCTTCTGCAAGTTTCCTCGGTTACATCTTTGGTGCATTGGGTCCGAGAACCTCATCGCACGGAAGCTGGCGCAGAGATTTGAGACGGTAACCTTTTTACCAAAGTTCTCTACGGCAGCACCCCTGAATTTCTGCGTGGACATCCCTTCATCTTGGCACCACTGGGCTGCTTCACCTAGGAGATCATCGGCCTTTACGTAGTAAGTACCGGTGTGCCCCGTCGATGAGTGTGAGCCCAGGTTCAGGAACGAAGAGGTAAGACTGATACCGTTAGAGCGGTAGGCCCACAAGGGGTTTTATATTTGGAACCGGTTATTGGACTGCCCCCTCCCTCTGGAGAGAAGAAGCGAAGGTACCCTTCTGGTACCTACCTCCACTAGTTCTATATATCCAGAATTACCGTCACTTCTGGTTCCTGGTCAGGCTCCTCCCAGCCCGGCCCACAACATCCTGTTGACTGAACTTCAGCCCAGTAAAATTAACCTGCCTCATTCTCCTTACCTTACTCCCCCTAGACTGGAACTTACTATAAAACAGCCTTGCCGAAGTCCTATATTAACCCGACAGATGACTGGTACCCTTCAACCCAGACATTACCAAATGCCCCTCCGACTTACACCGGGCCCAACACACGTTGACGAAAATGGCCAAATACAACGGGCATATCCTGTATTTGTCTATGTCCCCTTTACCACAACTGATCTATTCAATTGGAAGACTCATAACTCTTCTATACCGACAAACCTCAAGTCATGACAGATTTGGTTACCTCCATACAAACACACAATCCCACCTGGGCCGATTGCCAGCAATTATTATTAACTTTATTTAATTGTGAGGAAAGGACCCGGATTAATCAAGCGGCTATTAAAGCGCTTGAGGAAACGGCCCGTACTCAAAATCAGGCCAATCCAACTGCATGGGCTGCAGCCCATTATCCAAATGTTTACCCAAATTGGAATGTGAATGGTGCTGACATGCCCCAATCAAGGGCTTATCGGGAAGCCATGCTGTTACAGGTTCAAAGCGTCAGATGACCTGGACCAGATTACCTCAAGAATTCACCTAACCTATTTGGATCTGCATTAAGCCAGGATTTACAAGATTTCAAGTCCATCCCAGGAGAATGTGTATTGCTTCAATATGTGGATGATCTTTTGATAGCAGCTGTTGCTAAAGTGATATGCCAACAAGCAACTTATGATTTGCTTCACATTCTATGGAGAGCAGGATACAAGGTATCAAGGAAGAAAGCGCAATTGTGCTAGTCAACTGTTAAATATTTAGGATTCAATATTTCACAAGGTTAAAGAATAATGGGACCTGAAAGAAAAGAAGCAGTGTGTCGGATATCTATACCTAAGAGTAGAAGACAAGTGCGAGAATTCTTAGGAGCAGCAGGATTCTGCAGGATATGGATTCCTAATTATGCGATACTGGCAAAACCTTTATATGAAGCTGTGAAAGGCACAGAATATGACCCCTTTTTGTGGACCTCTGAACAACAGAAGGCATTTGAGGATGTTAAGAAAGCACTTATGAGTGCCCCAGCCCTAGGTCTACCAGATCACATGCGTCCTTTCTATCTGTACGTACATGAGCAAAGAAGAATGGCTGTGGGAGTATTAACTCAGTATTTGGGATCATGGCAAAAACCTGTAGCTTGTATGTCCAAACAGTTGGATGCAGTGGCCAGTGGTCTTCCACCTTGTCTGCGAGCAGTGGCCGCCGCTGCCCTGTTGGTAGCAGAAGCTGACAAGCTCACATTGGGTCAGGAACTCTATGTGAGAGTACCTCATGCAGTACAGACCCTATTGGATTACAAAGGAAATCATCGGTTTAGCAACAGTCGAATGACCAAATATCAAGCTATGTTATGTGAAAATCCAAGAGTACACCTCGAGACTGTCAATAATTTGAATCCAGCTACCCTTCTGCCCCAAACTACTGAAAGTCAACATGATTTGGAGATAATGGATGAAGTGTTTTCAAGCAGGCCTGATCTTCATGATTTCCCCATCCAGAATCCGGACATACAGTATTATACGGATGGTAGTAGTTATGTATACGTTATGCAGGGTATGCGGTAACAACCATAGACAAGGTGATAGAAGCACGGCCACTGTTGAAAGGAACATCAGCACAGAATGTGCTTGGTATTAAGTGGAAACTTCATACAGCATATAGACCTCACGTTCTGGAAAGGATGAATAGAACAATAAAAACCAATTGGCAAAAATGTGTCAGGAAACTCAGCTCAAGTGGAATGTCCTTTTGCCAATAGCTCTGTTGTGGTTATGTAGTACTCCTACCAGAAGAATGGGTCTGTCTCCCTTTGAAATCATACTCAGTAATCTAAGGGGAGACGTGAATCAGTTGGGTGAAGGAATTACTCGGCAGCAGGTTGTAGAGTTTGGTAGAACTATGGAGGAAGTACAGAAATGGGTGCAAGATAGGTTACCTGTGAACATATAACACCTGTTCATTCCTATCATCCGGGAGATCAAGGTCCGAAATGGAGAGGTCCTTATGTTGTTCTTTTGTACACTCCAACAGCTGTAAAGGTGGCAGAAGTGACTCCGTGGATTCATCACTCTAGGGTTAAACCAGCAGTAGACTCTTGGCAAGCCACTCCAGACCCTGAAATTCCTTGCAAGATCCGGTTAAAGCGGGTGACTCAGTTGGAGTGAGTGCGAAGTATTGGGACATTATGGTTGAAAGTACTATTTTGAGACCAGCAAGTAGGTGTTTTGATGGCCATAATAAAGCCTGACCATCTGCCTACGTGTCATAAGCCAGAGTGTCTCGAAGGGACCTCTGTGAAGAAAAGTGAGGATCAGAAGAACGACAATCCTTCCAGCCCTCACATTTGGGAAGCTGAGGTGCCATCGCACGGTCGAAGAGTAGAAATGAGGACTACTGGAATAATATGTTATATTATGTGTTTAGGCATTTTTGTGATTTTTCAGAAAGGTGAAGGTGAGGACATACAGAGTTGTGTTAGCTGCATTAAGACTACGAAAACAGGTAACCAAATATCCCACTCTCTCCCAAACTCTCATTTGGCACTCACAGTATGAGTGTAGGGGATCTGTATCCAAGTGTAGATATTTAGATATAGATTACAGTGTGTGCAAACCAATATCAGGAGAGCTTAAATGTTTTGATCCCCAATTCCAACCACGTACAATTTGGTTGGTAATTCGGAACAGTAACTCCCAGGGGACCTTGATAAATAGGACTGCGATAAATACCATACATTCTACGGGCATTCTACTATTTGGTGCATGTAAGGCGATCTCGGGTAGTGGAAAACCTTGGAATGTATGTGGTAATCTTAAATGGGAACGAACTTATGGGTTTAATGATAAATATTTATGTCCCAGTAAAAGATCTACTGATCCTGATTGCCGAAATAGGGATTTAAATTTTTGTCCATATTGGTCTTGTGTAGGGTGGGTGACCTGGGGTAAAACAGTGGATCAAGATATGATTATCCAAAGATTGCCCACTACACCACATGTCTAATCCACAACATTGTATTGATACGTTTGGAAATCTATTTGGGTTCCAAATATATGGCACAGGAGTAGATCCAGGGACCATAATATATGTAGGACTTGAAACTGAGACGATAGCAACTCAAACTCATCAGGTTTTTCATTCCTTCTATGAGGAGATGAGTATTGAGGATAAAATTCCCCATAATGTTAAGAACCTATTTATTGATTTGGCTGAGAGTATTGCGGGTAGTCTTAATGTAACTAATTGCTTTGTATGTGGAGGTACTAATATGGGAGACCAGTGGCCATGGGAGGGAAAGGAAGTATGGTACCCTGGTTCTGAGACAGATGAACAACAAATACTTTCTCAGTCTGATCATCAAGTAAGTACTAGAGGAAAATCAGAGTGGCGGTTAAAAACCCCTATTATAGGTCATGTATATTTAGCCAGGAAAGGGCCATTGTATACCACACCTGTTGGCGAGTTAATATGTCTGGGACAGAAGGCCTATAATGCCGATACTAAAGATACTACTTGGTGGTCAGCTTCAAATGTCTCAGAGCCTACTAATCCGTTTGCCAATTACACCCATTTAAAAGAGTTATGGTTTGACTTATCTGCTACATCCAATTGGGAACAAATGTTCTCAGTGAGCAGTTCAGAGGTTTTGCTAGGATGTATTTAAACTAGGAGGGGGGAAGGGTGATAAAACATCAATCCAATTGACCCCCAAAACAAGGACAGAAGGTGCCTGTAGCAAGTGTGTTAAAAAATGATAAGCTTAGAGTCATGTCTACAAATGCTCGCAGTTTAGGGAATAAGATTCATGAACTTGTGGCAATAATGGCAACTGATAGTGTAGATTTAGTCGCTGTTACTGAGACATGGTATAATGAGAAAAATGACTGGGACATAGCAATACCAGGGTACTCTTTATATAGGAAAGATAGGGAAGGCAAGAAAGGGGGAGGGGTGGCCTTGTATGTGAAGGATAGCATAAAATCTAGCCTAATAAAAGTTAGTGAGGCAAACAAAGAGTCCGTTTGGGCTACGTTAGAATTTGGTAATCACACAGTAACTCGTGTAGGTGCGATTTATAGGCCCCCAGGACCAACTGAAGAGTTAGATAATCTACTAGTTGAGGAAATAGCTAAAATGACAATGAAGGGGGAAGTTATCATCATGGGTGACTTTAATCTTCCTGATGTAAATTGGAAAACAAAATTAGCTACTTGTGCCAAGAGCACACATATTCTAAACTCCCTACTGGGATTGTCTCTAAAACAAGTTGTTGCAGAGCCAACTCGTAAAGAGGCCATACTAGATTTAGTGTTAACAAATGGAGATTTGTTATCAGATATTACTGTAGGTGAAAGTTTAGGATCCAGTGATCATCAGTCAGTGTGGTTTAATATAAGAACAGTGACTGAGTCACACCACACAAAAACAAAAGTTTTAGACTTTAGAAAAACAGACTTTTCTAAAATTAGAATATGTGTAGAGGAGTCATTATCAGACTGAAGCAATTTAGACTTTTTGGAGTCCAAGAGAAATGGGATTATTTAAAAGTTGCACTATTGAAGGCAACAGAAAATTGCATTAGGCTTGTCAGTAAAAGCAAAACATTCAAGAAACCACTGTGGTTCTCCACAGATGTGGCCAAAATAGTTAAAAACAGAAAGTTAGCATTTAGGAATTATACAAAAAACCCAGAGTGAGGAAGACAAAATGATCTATAAGATTAGGCAGAAAGAGGCTAAGCAAGTTATAAGAGCTTCCAAATCACACACAGAAGAGAAAATAGCACAGTCAGTAAAAAAGGGGGATAAAACATTTTTAGATACATAAATGAGAAAAGAAAAGTAAAACAAGGATTAGTTAGATTAAAAACAAAAGAAGGAAGGTATGTAGAAGAGGATAAAGGTCTAGCTGACTGCCTCAATGAATATTTTTGTTCTGTATTTACAGATGAAAATGAAGGAAAGGGACCTCAGTTGAGAAAAAGGATAAAGGAGTCATTTATTACACGTGAGTTTACAGAGGAAGAGGTTCTATTTCAACTGTCAAAAGTAAAGACAAATAAGTCAATGGGACCTGATGGAATACACCCAAAGCTATTAAAAGAGCTTAGTGGTGTACTAGCAAAACCATTAACAGATTTATTTAACCAATCATTGTTAAAAGGAGTAGTCCCAGAAGATTGGAAGTTAGCGAATGTTGTGCCCATTTACAAGAAAGGTAATAGGGAGGAGTCGGGCAACTATAGGCCAGTAAGCCTTACTTCAGTAGTGGGGAAAGTGATGGAAACCATGTTAAAGGATAGGATTGATGAACATCTAAAAACACATGGATTTCAAGATCAGAGACAACATGGGTTTACTTCAGGGAGATCATGCCAAACTAATCTTATTGATTTTTTTGATTGGGTAACTAAAATTATAGATCAGGGTGGTGCAGTAGACATTGCTTACCTAGATTTCAGTAAGGCTTTTGACACTGTTGCACATAGAAGGCTTATCAATAAACTGCAATCTTTAAATTTGGATTCCAATATTGTTGAATGGGTAAGGCAATGGCTGAGTGACAGGCAACAGAGGGTTGTAGTTAATGGAATATATTCGAAGCTTGGACTTGTCACCAGTGGGGTACCTCAGGGATCTGTACTTGGACCCATTCTCTTTAATATTTTTATTAGTGATATTGCAGAAGGTCTTGATGGTAAGGTATGTCTTTTTGCTGATGATACTAAGATATGTAACAGGGTTGATGTTCCAGGAGGGATAAGCCAAATGGCAAATGATTTAGGTAAACTAGAAAAATGGTCAGAATTGTGGCAACTGACATTTAATGTGGATAAGTGCAAGATAATGCATCTTGGACGTAAAAACCCAAGGGCAGAGTACAGAATATTTGATAGAGTCCTAACCTCAACATATGAGGAAAGGGATTTAGGGGTGATTATTTCTGATGACTTAAAGGTAGGCAGACAATGTAATAGAGCAGCAGGAAATGCTAGCAGAATGCTTGGTTGTATAGGGAGAGGTATTAGCAGTAGAAAGAGGGAAGTGCTCAGGCCATTGTACAGAACACTGGTGAGACCTCACTTGGAGTATTGTACACAGTACTGGAGACCGTATCTTCAGAAGGATATTGATACCTTAGAGAGGGTTCAGAGAAGGGCTACTAAACTGGTTCATGGATTGCAGGATAAAACTTACCAGGAAAGGTTAAAGGATCTTAACATGTATAGCTTGGAGGAAAGACGAGACAGGGGGGATATGATAGAAACATTTAAATATATAAAGGGAATCAACACAGTAAAGGAGGAGACTATATTTAAAAGAAGAAAAACTACCACAACAAGAGGACATAGTCTTAAATTAGAGGGACAAAGGTTTAAAAATAATATCAGGAAGTATTACTTTACTGAGAGGGTAGTGGGTGCATGGAATAGTCTTCCAGCTGAAGTAGTAGAGGTTAACACAGTAAAGGAGTTTAAGCGTGCATGGGATAGGCATAAGGCTATCCTAACTATAAGATAAGGCTAGGGACTAAAGAAAGTATTTAGAAAATTGGGCAGACTAGATGGGCCGAATGGTTCTTATCTGCCGTCACATTCTATGTTTCTATGGCCCCAGTGAATTTATATTGGATCTGTGGTAAGAAAGCATATTCAGAGTTACCACAAGACTGGGAAGGGGCATGTGTATTAGGTACGCTCAAACCATCCTTCTTCTTGTTGCCAATTGAGACAGGAGAGACCTTGGGAGTTAAGGTTTATGATGTAAATCATAAAAAGAAGCGCGCATCCTTGAATATAGGTAGCTCGGAAGATGATGAGTGGCCTCCCCAACGCATTATTAATTATTATGGACCTGCTACTTGGGCAGAAGATGGTACCTATGGATATAGAACCCCAATATATATGCTCAACCGTATTATAAGACTACAGGCGGTGGTTGAGATTATCACTGAGACAGCTCAAGCACTTAATCTTCTAGCTAAGCAAAATACTCGGATGAGATCAGCCATCTATCAAAATAGATTAGCTCTGGACTATCTATTAGCTGTAGAGGTAGGTGTATGCGGAAATTTTAATCTTAGCAACTGTTGTTTGCACATAGATGATGAAAGGTGGGCAGTGGCTGAACTTACTAGTCACATGGTTAAACTTACACATGTACCTACTCAGGTCTGGAATGGGTATAATCCAAGTAGTTGGTTTGGAAGTTGGTATGAGCAGCTTGAAGGGATTAAGGCGTTAGTAGGAGGAGTAGTATTCATGATATTCTTATGTCTCTTTCTGCCCTGCCTAATTGCATTAGTGGTCAGATCTATACGTGGTATCATAGAGAGTACTATAGAAAGAAAGACAGCTGCTCATGTAATGGCTGTCTATAGATATGAATCCCTAGCCCAAAGAGAACATATACAGGATGAGGAATGCTGAAGGAGTTTGAGATCATGCTAAGATGCTTACAAGGTCTGTTCTGGTCCATGGCTACTTGAGAGGTGTTGGTAAACTATGATTGGTGATGCAGCTGGAATAATTTTGTATTAGAGGCATCAAAGGGGGGAATGTGATGGAATTTCAGTGAAATGTAAATTTAGTAGGCCAAGATTTCCATGTGGCATATGTGTATGTTGTATCAGTTAGTTAGTTACACGTAGCTAAGATACTATCATCAATATACTGAGCATGTGCAGGAATTGAAATCACATGCCTTTCTCCCTTGTTTCGGATGAGCCATGTGGTCTGCCCATATAAGGAAATCCAGATCATGTCCACCCATTGGTTAAGGGTATGTGCAGGTGGAGCTATTAATGGGAGGAGTTATAGTTCTATAAAAAGCATTTACTTCATGTGTCTTCGGCCCTCAGACCTGTTTTGGAACGTTAGTTCATCTGGGGCCCGATCGGTATGTTAATAAAGACCTTTTACTTCCTGAAAACCTGCATCCATCTCTCTGTGTCTGGCTTCTGCAAGTTTCCTCGGTTACAATTCTATTTTTAAGGATGATGTATAATTTTTCAATAACTCAATAGGCATTGCTCTATATAAACTGGGAGAATGGTCATTTTTAAAAATAATGTCCCAGGCCTTAAGCGTAGTCTTGGTAGATAAAAATAATTTTGTAATTCCAGGTCTTTTTTAGGATTTAACCAAGGTAATTCTGACAATCTAACCGGTAAAATTTTCGATTCTTCTATTTCCGTCCATCTGGGTTTATCAACCTGGTTATTAAAGCTCACTGCCACTGCAGCGTTAGTGGTGAACTAATATTTGCGGATATTGGGGACACAGATACCATCATTTGATTTATGGTGCTGCAGGGAAGTGAGCCTTACTCGGGCAGGCTTGTTCCCCCCAGATGAATTTCAGCATTGTCGAGTGAACTTTAGTAAAAAATGATAATGGGATGGACAGAGGGAGGGTCCTAAAAAAAATATAAAATTTTTGGAAGTATCGTCATTTTAATAGATGCGACCCTCCCCAGTCATGAGAGCTCCATCCCGCCCCATCTCTCTTTCTCTTTTTGTAAGTCCGACCATGCTTTCCTCAAGTTGTGATTTTGCATATTGACCAAATTTTTGCATAAATTAATGCCAAGATATTCCATATAGTCAGTTCTCCAATCAAATAAATATGATTTATTAAGGGCAGTGGTTTCCAAATTATTTAAATGAAACGGAAGGGCCTGAGTCTTAATCTCGTTTAAATTGTAGTACGGTATCTCGCCAAATTGAGTTAAAATGTCCTTGAGGTGTCTCAAAGATTCTTTTGGGTTTTTGACAGCTAGGATTATATCGTCTGCAAACAGGCCAATTTTGTGAACGGACACTGTGACAACCCTAGTACGAATACGATCAAAGCACATTCTGTAATATCACAATACACCACATTCTGTAATATCACAATACACCACATTCTGTAATATCAAAGTACACCACATTCTCTTATATCACAGTACACCACATTCTATAATATCACAGTACACCACATTCTGTAATATCACAGTACACCACATTCTGTAATATCACAGTACACCACATTCTGTAATATCACAGTACACCACATTCTATAATATCACAGTACACCACATTCTGTAATATCACAGTACACCACATTCTATAATATCACAGTACACCACATTCTGTAATATCACAGTACACCACATTCTATAATATCACAGTACACCACATTCTATAATATCACAGTACACCACATTCTGTAATATCAAAGTACACCACATTCTGTAATATCACAGTACACCACATTCTGTAATATCAAAGTACACCACATTCTGTAATATCACAGTACACCACATTCTGTAATATTATCAAAGTACACCACATTCTGTAATATTATCAAAGTACACCACATTCTGTAATATCAAAGTACGCTCTGAAAAATGTCTGCCCTGCCTAATATACATCTCTCTCCCACAGTCTGATTTTTAAACATACCCAGTCCAGCATAGAACTCAGAGCTCCATCAGCTGTTCCATGGCCATTTGAAACAGGTAGCCTTCTGGAAGACTGACTTTTCCCTCCCACCCTACCCCTCGCCCACCCACCCCATGGTCATTTTCTCATTTATAGATAGTCTCCCACACAACTTTCAATCTACTGAATTGACAGGTGCAACCACTGATCAGCACACCCTTTCAATCTCTTAACCCTATAGAACACATACCCTCTCTCACTACAAATAGATATCACACACCAAAACCATATAATTCTATTTAAATTTTTTTTTTTTCCTCACAATTTCTGTTTCATTTTCAACTACACACCTTATACCACTAACATGAATCCTAATATAACCATACTGTTAGTCTTAATAACCCTTTTCTCAATCCAATTTTGTTCACACAACTACCAGCATAAGCACACACCTCAAACTGGAACACAAATTATAATACACCATGGCCTGCTCTGTTCCTTTAACTTATCTGCTGAGTGCTGGTGGAGAGTTATAAAAAATAGCCCTCCTACCCCAAACTCACAAAATTATAAATTATCCCATTCACTATATGGCCAAACAAAGATGATGTCCAAATTCCTACTCCTTATGTTACTTGCCCTTGCAAATGATGTGGAGTCTAACCCTGGTCCCCCAGCTAATTCTAGTCCTAATCTCCCCACTAAAAAAGGCCTCTCTTTTGTGCACTGCAACATCCGTAGTTTACTCCCTAAACTGGATGCACTGCAAGCCTGGTGTTCCCATTACAAACCAAAAATCATTGTGCTCTCAGAATCATGGTTAACGGCTAAAATACCAGACACCGCCATTGCAATACAGGGTTATTCATGTTTTAGAAATGACAGAGCAAAGAGAGGAGGAGGCATTGTTATTTATGTTGACAATTCCATAAAGTTTACCCCTTTACAAAACCTTAGTCCTCCTGCCATCTTTGATTTCCTTTCTGGCACAATTGAGATCCCGTGCAGTAAATCCATCATTGTTGCAGGAATCTACCGCCCACCTAGCTCTCCTGTGCATTCCCTTTCTGACATAGCCCATCTCCTTAGTGAAACCATAGCTCAAAACCCAAAAAGTGAACTGTTGGTCTTTGGAGATTTTAATATTGATTGGCTGAACCCTAAAAATAATAGTTCTTGCACGCTGTTTAAGACTTTGCAGCTAACGCAATTAATCTCCTCCCCAACTCGCATAAACATTAAAAGCCATAAACATACCCTGCTAGATTGGATTCTCTGCACTTCTCCTGATAGAATCCAGGAGGTTGGTGTTCTCCCCAACACGTTCAGTGATCATTGTTTAGTGTACTGCGTGCGCAAAATAAAGGCTATTAAATCCTCTCCCAAGGTTAAAATAACTAGGTCCTTCAAAAAATTTAATCTTGAATCCTTTTTAAATGACATCAAGAATCTCTCATGGCACAGATTAAACATTATCCCAGATCTAGACTGTGCTGTTGAATACTTTCAGTCTGAACTCCTTCAAATCTGGAATTTGCATGCCCCGCTGCGTAAGGTGAGGGTAAAAGGAGCGCATATGAACTGGATCACAGCTGACCTCATCCAAATGTACCAGTTTCGGGATTCTTTGTGGTCAAAGTTTAAGCGTACTGGCTCTATGAATGATCACGGTGCATATAGACAATGGCGAAATATATGCACAAAACAGACAAAACTGGCCAAGGCCCAATATTTCTATGAAAATCTGAACAGTAACATCTCAAACCCTAGAAACTTTTGGAAAGTCATAAATAAACTACAAACTCCCCCAATCCACTCCCAACCCTCCACTGTCAAAGTGGGTAACCAAACCCTGCAACTTCCTTTAGATGTTGCAAATGCCTTTAACAATTATTTTGTCGGATGCTCTACTGCCCTGATTGACAAGCTAATAAATGACACGCATCCTGAAACTACAAATGTGGATCAGGCCCCACTAAATTTGCAAAGGCCCAATATAGATAAGTTTAATTTTAGACCTGTACCTGTTAGTGTCATTAAAAAACATCTTAATAATCTAAAAATGAAAAACCAGTCCGGACCTGATCAAATCCCAGCAATGCTGTTGAAGCTCAGTGCGCCGGCAATTGCTAAACCCGTCTCAACTCTAATTAACGAATCCTTGGTGTCTGGATACATACCCAAACTTTGGAAGACTGCGAGAGTAGTGCCTATCCATAAAAGTGGTGACACTACTTTGGTTTCTAACTATCGCCCAATATCATTGCTCCCGGTATTGTCAAAAATCTTAGAAAAATGTGTCCATACGCAACTTTGTGAGTACTACCAACAATTAAACTATCTGACCCCTGATCAATCGGGCTTTCGCCAGAATCACTCCACTACAACTGCCCTCCTAAAAGTTTGCAATGACATCCAAACTGGCATGGAACAAGGAGCCCTAACTGGAGCTATTTTCCTTGATTTTGCTAAGGCCTTTGACACAGTAGACCACGACATTCTACTGCACAAACTCGAAAACTCAGGTATTGGTGATCATTCTTTAAACTGGTTTCGATCGTATGTATCGGATCGCTCGCAATATGTGTCCATTTCTGACAGTGACTCCCTCCCTCTCCCGGTCACGTGTGGTGTTCCCCAGGGTTCCATTCTCGGCCCCCTACTATTTACATTATTTATAAATGATCTGCCTTATGTCTGCCAATCCTCAAATGTACACATGTACGCAGATGACACGGTAATCTATGCGAGCAAACCCAATCTACCGCAACTTGAGGCTTTGCTCCAAGACCAGTTTACAGAGGTAGAAAAGTGGATCGCAAAAAACAAACTCTTCCTGAACACTGACAAAACTGTCACAATGATCTTTGGAACAGTACCTAAATTGCACAAATTACACAATCCCCACCTATCCATCAAAACAAATTCAAATGGCACACTGACCGCAGTCCACTCTTTCAAATACTTGGGTATGATATTAGATCCCAATCTATCTTTTGGCCTGCACATAGAAAAGCTTGCATCTAAACTTTATCCAAAATTAGGTGCCCTGTACAGAAACAAAGCCTGCCTAAGCCCTACAGTAAAGGAAAAGATTGTACAGCAAATGCTGATGCCAATCATTGATTATGGGGATGTAGTATATGCGTCTGCATCGCAATCCCACATTAATAAACTCAACACATTGTATAACTCGTTCTGCCGATTTGTGCTACAATGTAATTACAGGACCCATCATTGTGACATGCTAAAGGAACTAAACTGGCTGTCGCTGGAATCCAGACGCACCCTTCATCTTTCCAGCCTTGTTTTTAAGAGCTTCTCTGGGAAACTCCCACCCTACCTGAACAAAATGCTTTCCTTAGCTGTTCCCACTTTCTATAAGCTCCGATCCAGTACAAGCACTTTACTTAGTCTACCTCAATACAAAAAGAAAGCGGCCCGATCCTCCTTCTCCTACAGAGCACCGCAATTGTGGAACGACCTCCCGCACAATTTAAAATCTTCCCTAAGCCTAAAGTCATTTAAGAGATCCCTCTCTACATACCTCAAAACAGAATGCACGTGTCATGGTTGATTATATATTTCCTGCCTGTTCTATGTTAAATTTTGTATATATTGTGTATTAATATTGTTTTTGTATTTTGTTGTACCTAATGTAACAATGCAATGATTTGTGGACCCAGGACATACTTGAAAACGAGAGAAATCTCAATGTATCTTTCCTGGTAAAATATTTTATAAATAAATAAATAAAATAAATTTGTTTCCTCGCAAAGTGTTGCTTACATCTGCTCTGCTAAACAGCAATGACTCTGGTTATTACTTTCAATCATTAAAGGGACACTATGGGTAGGGAAAACATAGTGGACATGGCAACACCGCAACGATCTCATCGAATTGGTCTTGGTGCAGCGTCCCGGTCATTTTCACGGAAACTGCAATGTTACATTGCTGGGTTAAGCCATTAGACGCACTTCTTGGCCATTCACTGGGTTTGACTCCGTGAAACGACGCTGGAAGTTCTCACACTCTGCATGAGGACGTCCAGTGTCTACTAAAATCGAGTCAATGCTTTCCGATGGGGAAGGTTTAACGTGCTCGCCGCGCATTACGTTCCCACCACAGGCTGACATTGGAGGAGGAGCCGGACTGCGGCGAATCAGGTAAATGAAAAGGGGGTGGAGGGGGGTAGAAGGACACTATGATGTTATGAATACAGTTTTATATCCCTAACACTATAGCATTCCTTGAACATGATATAAAATATAGAGAATATTTATTAATAAAAACCTAAGGCACATGGGACAGACGCTGCTTGTTTTTTGCAGTTCTAAAAAAACACATACAATCATTACTAAATTAATTACAGAAATAACATAACATGCAAAGAAAAATAAATAGAGGGAGCATTACACACATCAGGTATTTCCCTGAACCAATACCCCCCTGAGCTATAACAGCTAGCTGGCTACAATGTATCTCTGCTAACACCCATACCTTACAGCAGGAGAGATGTGCCTTGTCTTACTAGTGTGTGGGGGATGGTTTAACTTTCAGTAGCAGAAACACTGAACAAATTGAATCATGGGACACATAGTTCTCTTCCCAGTAGGCTCAAGCAGTTCAAGATGTAATAAAAACTCCTAATCCCATGATGCATTGTAAAGAGTATACATATACACACACACAGTCAGCTGATCAGAAAAAAAATCATACTGAGAAGACTTGACTTATCTTGAATTTGTAAAGCTTTATTTGAAACTGAAAAGATTCACAGTGATGTAGTTGCACATGAATCATACTTCCCAAGCGTCTCTATTTAGAAAGGACAGTCCCTATTTTAGGCACAAATCGCCCTGACCCTCTTTTCTAGGAGCTCCAAATTGTTTGTGTGTGTCAGTGTATAACAGAGCATTAATACTCCCAGTAATATTTATTTACACAGAGATGCCCAGTATTTACATGTTTATAGTATGAGAGCTGCCTGTACCCAGTGTTTACATGTTTATAGTATGAGGGCTGCCTGTACCCAGTGTTTACATGTTTATAGTATGAGGGCTGCCTGTACCCAGTATTTACATGTTTATAGTATGAGGGCTGTCTGTACCAAGTATTTACATGTTTATAGTATGAGGGCTGCCTGTACCAAGTGTTTACATGTTTATAGTATGAGAGCTGCCTGTACCCAGTATTTACATGTTTATAGTATGAGAGCTGTCTGTACCCAGTGTTTACATGTTTATAGTATGAGGGCTGCCTGTATCCAGTATTTACATGTTTATAGTATGAGAGCTGCCTGTACCCAGTATTTACATGTTTATAGTATGAGAGCTGTCTGTACCCAGTGTTTACATGTTTATAGTATGAGGGCTGTCTGTACCAAGTATTTACATGTTTATAGTATGAGAGCTGCCAGTACCCAGTGTTTACATGTTTATAGTATGAGAGCTGCCTGTACCCAGTATTTACATGTTTATAGTATGAGGGCTGCCTGTACCCAGTATTTACATGTTTATAGTATGAGGGCTGTCTGTACCAAGTATTTACATGTTTATAGTATGAGAGCTGCCAGTACCCAGTGTTTACATGTTTATAGTATGAGAGCTGCCTGTACCCAGTGTTTACATGTTTATAGTATGAGAGCTGCCTGTACCCAGTGTTTACATGTTTATAGTATGAGGGCTGTCTGTACCCAGTGTTTACATGTTTATAGTATGAGGGCTGTCTGTACCCAGTGTTTACATGTTTATAGTATGAGGGCTGTCTGTACCCAGTATTTACATGTTTATAGTATGAGGGCTGTCTGTACCCAGTGTTTACATGTTTATAGTATGAGGGCTGCCAGTACCCAGTGTTTACATGTTTATAGTATGAGGGCTGCCTGTACCCAGTGTTTACATGTTTATAGTATGAGAGCTGCCAGTACCCAGTGTTTACATGTTTATAGTATGAGGGCTGACTGTACCCAGTATTTACATGTTTATAGTATGAGGGCTGCCTGTACCCAGTGTTTACATGTTTATAGTATGAGGGCTGCCTGTACCCAGTATTTACATGTTTATAGTATGAGGGCTGCCTGTACCCAGTGTTTACATGTTTATAGTATGAGGGCTGCCTGTACCCAGTATTTACATGTTTATAGTATGAGAGCTGTCTGTACCCAGTGTTTACATGTTTATAGTATGAGAGCTGTCTGTACCCAGTGTTTACATGTTTATAGTATGAGGGCTGTCTGTACCAAGTATTTACATGTTTATAGTATGAGAGCTGCCAGTACCCAGTGTTTACATGTTTATAGTATGAGAGCTGCCTGTACCCAGTGTTTACATGTTTATAGTATGAGAGCTGCCTGTACCCAGTGTTTACATGTTTATAGTATGAGAGCTGCCTGTACCCAGTGTTTACATGTTTATAGTATGAGGGCTGTCTGTACCCAGTATTTACATGTTTATAGTATGAGGGCTGTCTGTACCCAGTGTTTACATGTTTATAGTATGAGGGCTGTCTGTACCCAGTATTTACATGTTTATAGTATGAGGGCTGTCTGTACCCAGTGTTTACATGTTTATAGTATGAGGGCTGCCAGTACCCAGTGTTTACATGTTTATAGTATGAGGGCTGCCTGTACCCAGTGTTTACATGTTTATAGTATGAGAGCTGCCAGTACCCAGTGTTTACATGTTTATAGTATGAGGGCTGACTGTACCCAGTATTTACATGTTTATAGTATGAGGGCTGCCTGTACCCAGTGTTTACATGTTTATAGTATGAGGGCTGCCTGTACCCAGTATTTACATGTTTATAGTATGAGGGCTGCCTGTACCCAGTGTTTACATGTTTATAGTATGAGGGCTGCCTGTACCCAGTATTTACATGTTTATAGTATGAGAGCTGTCTGTACCCAGTGTTTACATGTTTATAGTATGAGAGCTGCCTGTACCCAGTATTTACATGTTTATAGTATGAGGGCTGCCTGTACCCAGTATTTACATATTTATAGTATGAGGGCTGCCTGTACCCAGTATTTACATGTTTATAGTATGAGAGCTGCCTGTATCCAGTGTTTACATGTTTATAGTATGAGGGTTGCCAGTACCCAGTGTTTACATGTTTATAGTATGAGAGCTGCCTGTATCCAGTGTTTACATGTTTATAGTATGAGAGCTGCCTGTACCCAGTATTTACATGTTTATAGTATGAGAGCTGCCTGTATCCAGTGTTTACATGTTTATAGTATGAGAGCTGTCTGTACCCAGTGTTTACATGTTTATAGTATGAGAGCTGCCTGTACCCAGTATTTACATGTTTATAGTATGAGGGCTGACTGTACCCAGTATTTACATGTTTATAGTATGAGAGCTGCCTGTACCCAGTATTTACATGTTTATAGTATGAGAGCTGCCTGTACCCAGTATTTACATGTTTATAGTATGAGAGCTGCCTGTATCCAGTGTTTACATGTTTATAGTATGAGGGCTGCCAGTACCCAGTGTTTATATGTTTATAGTATGAGGGCTGCCTGTATCCAGTGTTTACATGTTTATAGTATGAGAGCTGCCTGTATCCAGTGTTTACATGTTTATAGTATGAGGGCTGCCTGTATCCAGTGTTTACATGTTTATAGTATGAGAGCTGCCTGTATCCAGTGTTTACATGTTTATAGTATGAGGGCTGCCTGTATCCAGTATTTACATGTTTATAGTATGAGAGCTGCCTGTATCCAGTATTTACATGTTTATAGTATGAGAGCTGCCTGTATCCAGTGTTTACATGTTTATAGTATGAGGGCTGCCTGTACCCAGTGTTTATATGTTTATAGTATGAGGGCTGCCTGTACCCAGTATTTACATGTTTATAGTATGAGAGCTGCCTGTACCCAGTGTTTACATGTTTATAGTATGAGGGCTGCCTGTACCCAGTATTTACATGTTTATAGTATGAGGGCTGTCTGTACCCAGTGTTTACATGTTTATAGTATGAGGGCTGCCTGTACCCAGTGTTTACATGTTTATAGTGAGGACACAGAAGGGATGGGAAGTGAGAGGAGCTGAGCAGGGGAGGGATGTAGAGTGTCATGTGACACCCCCCAGGGACACTGGTCTGACTCCCAGTTAGGAGAGGAGCCAGGAAGAGAAGGACTTGTCCTCAGACACAGTAAGTATAGGGGGAGTGGGGGAGGGGGTAACATTGACAGGTGTGGTGGGCACATGCTAGCCCCCTCTCTCAATTCACTGTCACAGGCTTGCTGCTGTTTGTGTGATGTTTCTTTATTAATATTTTTCAATGTCATTTTCTATAAACTGCATTTCCCTTAGAGCTTAGTCATTTTTAAGGCTGGCTGAGCTTCATGAGAAATGTAGTCCACACATCTGCTGCTGATTGTATACAATTCATATTTTGGTGGCCAGTTAATTTGGCATTACTGTGAACTACACTTCATATCATGCTCAGCCATCCAAAGGGAAATACAGTGTAAAGGAATTTAGGGTTAGTATTCTGTGTCAGGATTTATCACATTGAATGAAACTTATTAATCAGATTTTTTTTTAAAAGGTGTATATTGATTGTTTTTGAGAAGATTTCTCTGTTTATCTGGCTGAGCGGCCATGTTGGGACACACTCTAATGTTATCTGACCAAAAAAGTCCTCTCCCTAACTTGCTGCCTGCTGTGATTGCTCTGTGTGAACCTGTGTCATATGATATATTCCGTGTAGATATATGTTAAAGTGTTCATAACATATGGAGTTTAAAGGACCACAATAGTGCCAGGAAAACGACTCTATAGGGTCTTTAGGTGCCCCCACCCTCATGGCCCCCCTCCCGCTGGGCTGAAGGGGGAGGAAGGGGCACCCTCTGCGCTGGGGACTTTCCTCCCTCTTCCGACGTCATTTGCTGAATGCACATGCGCGGCAAGAGCCGCGTGCGCATTTAGTCAGTCCATAGGAAAGCAGTTCTCAATGCTTTCCTATGGACGCTGGCTTCTTCTATGAAAATCACAGTGAGAAACGCAGAAGCGCCTCTAGCGGCTGTCAATGAGACAGCCACCAGAGGCTGGATTAACCCTATTGCAAACATAGCTGTTTCTATGACAACATAGCCGTTTCTATGAAAACACATAGCCGTTTCTATGAAACGGCTATGTTTACAGCTGCAGGGTTAATCTTAGATGGACCTGGCACCCAGACCACTTCATTAAGCTCAAGTGGTCTGGATGCCTTTAACCCCTTAAGGACACACCTTCTGGAATAAAAGGGAATCATGATGGAATATTTTCGTCATGTGTCCTTAAGGGGTTAATGGAGCTAAAATTAAAGCTTTTGTTCATATATGTGTAAACAACGACACAGCAAATACACTCAGATATATGTAAACAGAGACACAGCACATACACTCAGATATGTGTAAACAGAGACACAGCACACACACTCAGATATGTGTAAACAGAGACACAGCACATACACTCAGATATGTGTAAACAGCGACACAGCACATACACTCAGATATGTGTAAACAGAGACACAGCACATACACTCAGATATGTGTAAACAGA